CTTCATGTAATCTATGCAGCATTCTACCACCTCCTCAGTTGTGTACCCCTCTATCATTGATCCCTCCGGATGAGCTCGGTTATGGACATACCCTTTCAGGACGGACATGTACCTCTCGTACGCCCACATCTGGTGTAGGTACAGGGGACCAATCTCGATAATCTGAGGTACGATGTGGACAATCAGATGCTCCATCATGTTGAAGTAAGCTGGAGGGAAAAACATCTCAAGCTGGCACGCTGTCTCGATTGCAAATTTTTGAAGGGGGCCTAACTCTTCAGGATCAAAAACCTTCTGTGATACTCGATTGAAAAAGTAGCACAACTTTGTTATCACTAATCGAGTGTGAACTGGCTTGACCGCTCTTATAGCAATCGGTAGGAAGACTGTTAACATCTTGTGACAATCATGAGCATTGTACCCAGAAATGGTCAAATCTTTCAAAGATACAAGTTTTCTGACGTTCGCTGAGAAACCAGTCGGGACTTTCACACTATGCAAGCATCTACATAAAGATTTTTTCTCGTCAAGTGTTAGTGAGTAGCAAGCCGGAGGAATATCGATCTTTCCATTTGGCAGCTCTTTTGGGTAAAGCTCATGCCTTATGTCCAAATTGACGAGGTCGGTCCGGGACTTCAACCCATCTTTCGTCTTACTCGGGATGTCCAGTAAAGTGCCAATGGTGCTATCAAACACATTCTTCTCAAGGTGCATTACGTCGATGGCATGCCGAACCTCCAGGTCTTTCCAGTAATCAAGATACCTGAAAAAAATTGAGTGCTTCTTAAAGGGCAGGTTACTTTCCTCTAAAGGTGCATCAGTTGTTTCCTGATCCGTCCGTTTCTTCCTCTTGACGGGCTTCTTTTTTGGCTTGCCGAAGACAACCTTAATGTTCTTTGTCAGCTCGAAGACAGAGCCACATGTTCGTGTTTCAGGAGCTAGATCGTTCTCTACTGTATTGTCGAATAATCTGGCCTTCGCACGCCACCTATGCCTCTGAGGTAAGAACCGACGATGACGCATGTAAACACCCTTGGTTGATGAGGTGAGGTACTTGTACGACGTCTTGTCGATACATAGGAGGCATCCGAACTTCCCCTTAAACTAGCCCGAGAGCGAAAAGTTTGCCGGTAAGTCGTTGATCGTAACGAATATGATGGCATGCAGAGTAAAATGTTCCCTACGGTACTCGTCCCACATTCGTAACCCTTCCTCCCACAGTTCTTGCATGTCCTCCATCAATGGTTCCAGAAACACATCTATGTTAATCCCAGGCTGTCTTGATCCTTGTATAAGGATAGACAAAAGAATATACTTTCGCTTCTGGCAAATCCATGTAGGCAAGTTGTACATCGTTAGCAGAACTAGCCAGGTGCTGTGTGTGCTGCTTAGGGCACCGAACGGGTTCATTCCGTCCGTGCTCAATGCAAACCTTACATTTCTCGGGTCCTTTGCAAATTCCGAGTGTAGTGCATCAAAGTTTTTCCACTGTCGAACATCGGCGGGGTGTCGGATCTTACCGTCATTTTTCCTACCCTCCTGGTGCCATCTCATCAACTCGGCGTCGTCATGGTTGGAAAATAGCCGCTTCAGGCGATCTTTAACTGGCAGGTACCAACATCACCATCCTAAGAATCTTTTTTTTCTCATCCACCGGTGCATCATCTTTGTCGACCACCTCTCTATCGGAGGCTCCGTTGCCCGTCTTGTACCGACTCGTCCCACATGTTGGGCAAGAGTCTAAATCCGCGAATTCCTTGCGGTACAGTATGCAATGATTTTCACATGCATGGATCTTCTGAACACCTAGAGACAATGGACATATCAATTTCTTCGCTTGATATGTGTTCGTCGGTAGCAGGTTCAGCTTAGGAAGCATAACTCTCAAAAGATCCATCAAATCATTGAAGCTCATGTCCGACCATCCATGTCTGGCCTTCAATCTGAGAAGTTCGAGCACCGAGCGCAGGACCGAATAGTCCTTGTCGCATCCTTTGGCTTCGTCGTTCAGAAGCTCCTTCGCTGCTTTTTCCAACGCTTCCCAATTGTCCAACCCTCGTCTTGTACCAGTTAGGATCTCTGGTTCAACGTGCCGCAACATATCTTCCAGATCAAAATCAATACCTTCATTCTCTATACCAGAGCCACCGTATTCCGGGATGTTTCCCTGTGACATGTCTTCGACAATAAAATTTTCTGCATCATCAAAACAGAAATCATCTAACTCTTCATTACGACCATTGACTTCCCCATGAAAGGTCCATATCTCGTAGCCCTTCTTAAATCCTCATTCTACGATGTGCGACAATACTTTATTCGGATCTTGCAGCAAAATTTCATTCTTACAAACTTTGCATGGGCAAAAAATGTTCCTCAAATTCTCCCTCACAGCATGTGCCTTTGCGAGCTCAACAAATTTGGCTGCTTCCTTCAAGAACGTTGGATGAGCTCTTTTCGTGTTGTACATCCATGTCTGATCCATGACTTACAATAAAGCTTGTCATTAATACATCCATGCCCGATTCAAACACGAATGTATTTAAATTGGAGGGAACGAATCACATGGTAATTTAAAGTTTTACGAACTATTTAAATAGCCGCACAGTGATTTTAAGCATTAATAAAATACTGTCCATTTCTAAAAAATGAAAAAAAATCATCCTTTCATCCAAATGAAAATAAATTTAATAGAGGCAAACCCAACTTTTCAATGTAGGTACTAAATACTTTTATAAACATGTAATGGAATCATTATGTATTTGCTAAAAAAATAAAAAAAACAAAAAGGTGCCTACACTATTCCATTTATAAAAGTGCAAGTTTCTTCGTATTCCACCGATGAAAACTGACAAAAATGGAAGCAAATGAAGGAGGAGAACAAGCTCTACACCTTTTATATGGAACCCAATCAAAGATTTGAGGTCGAAAACCTTCCCCCCTAATTTTGTGGATGTTTATGAGAGAGAAACCGTCGGAATTTCATACCAACGGTCGGGCTGGGGCTTATATGCCCCCCGACCATCGCAAGCGGTCGCCTTACGTGGGCCGCACGGGATAATCGATTATCCCGTGCGGCCCACAGCCCGGCGCCGGCATTCGCCTGGTTCCAGGCGGAGCCACTTTTGGCCCGCCTGGAACCAAAAGGGGCCGGTGTCCAGAAAAATCACCTCTGTAGTAGTGATGTAGTTGATGTGGAATGCTGGGGAAGGCCCCATATATAAACACGTCAAAACTATAGAGCCTGACCAGCCTGTTCCTGTCATTACATGCATTTATCCTTGCTAAGTGAGGGTGCTAGCAGGAAGGAGATGGTAGTGACCGGTGAGAATCTGCTAGGAACTGGATGCATCGAGAACTAGAGTTAAAGCATCTTGGCAAAACAGAGCTCAAATATTTATGTTTGGCTAGAAGGGACCTGGAGATCATGATGATAGACTGTACAGATTCATAGTCATGTATTTATAAAAACCAGAACTTCAACCACGAAGCGACGGGGATAATCAACGAGTTGATTGGCGGAGAAGAAGGCCTGATTGGAAGGAGGCAGATTGTAGTTGGGACTGAGCAGGATAGCCACACACTCACCATGTCACCACACTAACAGGCCGACCATAGCTATGCATACTCAATCGGACTGACGACTATCACTGTGACATGCATGAAGCAGCTAGCCTGCAGGCTGTTGTAATTAAGAGCAAGTATAATAGTAGGCTATAAGCCAGCTAAATACTAAGGTGGAGGAGAGAAGAGAGGAGAAGCGGATTGTAAAGATACAATAAAAATATTATACTACCACACAAATATTAGTCTACTATTTTTGTGGGGCCTGCTATCTTCTCCTGTCCCTTCTCTTTCTTCCTCCCACCACTTCTTCAGTGCCTATTTTTCTTTTTTACCGTTTTCCTTGTCTTCTTTATGCTCGGTGGTCGCCAGCTCGAGAAGACGGTGATAGCGCTGGCTGCAGCGGTCATGGTGGATGATGGCGGCGGTGGCAGAGGACACGGAGGACGAGCGCAACAGCAGTGACTGATGGAGGCGACGAGCGCGGTGGAAGAGGACGAGGGAGTCGGCAGCTGCAACAAATGAGGACAAGGACGGTGGCACCAACAATAGATGAGGGCAGCGGCAGCGCGGTGGAGGACACGACGGACGAGGACAAGGGCATCGACAGTGGCACACTATGGTGTCAGTAACGGACGCGGACGAGGATGAAGGTGGTGGCGGAAGAGGACGAGGGCAGCGTCGGCGTTCGTGGGCGAGGATGGCGGTGGTGACATCAGACGAGGACGTAGGCGTTGGCGTCGGTGTCCATGGACGAGGGCAGTAGCCCGTGGGATGCAACATCGACGACTCCGGTGAGGACTCCGTCCTTGGGCTGAGTGTGCAGCCACACGACCAATTAGAGCAAGTTTAATAGTATAGCCAACTACTAGCTCCAAATCATCTATAGCCAAATTAATAGCCAATTCGTATAATAGTTACTTACTACACTATTAATCTGGTCCCACATGTCATACACACGTTTTATCTTGGAATCCGTGCTGCAGCTGGCTACAGATCTGTAGCCCGCTGCTCTACTCTCTCCTCTTTTATCTCTTTAAAATATATTTATAACTGGCTTATCGTATGCTATTGTACCTGTTTATAGTTACCCATGCTATCTCTTCTATCGTCTCTTCTCCAACTCATCAAAAAATAATCCTACGTGAATAATTACCCCTATCTTCTGGGCAAAAGCTTCGGTTCTCATACCGTGTATTTACCACAGATACACGATATGACAACTGAATCTTTTCCATTTAAGATGGCAAAAACTGCCACAAAGTCCCCTGCATAATACCTGGATGAAACTCCTTATTTAAGCAGGCTAATCACCGATGCCTAATTTAGCCATACATATCCTCCTATAATCCCCTACAAATACTCTATCAAAGCAAGTTAGCTGAAGAATAAGCACAATACAACTAACAAGCAAAAGCTAGCTTAGCTGTAGCGAATTAATGGCGCAAACAGGGAGCAGCATCACGGCGCACGCTGCCCTCGTCGCCGTGGTGGCGGTGGCCGTGCTGTGCCTCACCGGCGCTAAGCCGTCGGCGGCGTGCAAACTCGGGAAATCCAACTGCCTGCCACCGATCGTTCCGCGGGCCGCGCCGCCGGCGGTGGAGAAGGCGGATGGCAATGGCAAGTGACCGGTGGAGGTGGGGAAGCTAGGGGTGTGCGGGAGCGTGCTGAACGCGCTGATCCACGCGGTGGTGGGGGCGGCGCCGCCGCCCAGCAGGGAGCCGTGCTGCCCGCTCATCGCCGTGCTCGCCGACGTCGACGCCACTACTAGAAATTCGCAGGCGGCCTAAACAGGATTTCACAGGCGGGCCAATTGTCCGTCTGCAACTGAACGACTGTTAAAATAGTTGATTTTCGTAGACGGACAACTGGTCCGCCTGCGAAAATAGCACCTGGCATTAAAAAAAATAGGCAGCCACCGCCCACCGCCGTTTCGGCCGGTAGCAGTAGCTTCTCATTCTCCTCCCATTTCCCCCATCTAGATTCAACATCAAACCAAATCAAATACACAAAAACATCACAGATTAACAGACATCATAGTGGTTCACAATCAAATCAAATCAAATCAAATCAAATCACAAATTTTCGCACGGACGTCATCGTCGCCATCGCACGGACGCACCCCGCTGCCTCCGGCTGATCCACACCCTGCCCACGCGCGATGCCGTGCCCCGCCGCCAGCCTCTCCCCTCCGGCCAGATCTAGGAGGAAGGGAGGGAGGGGAGCCGCCACCGGCCTCCCCCCTCCCCCCTCCCCCTCTAGCCAGATCTGGAGGGGAGGGAGGGAAGGAGGGGAGCCGCCGCCGGCCGCCCTGCGCCTGACGATGCGCCCGGCCGCCGGCCTCCCCCATCCCCCCTCCGGCCAGATCTGGAGAGGAGGGAGGGAGGGAAGCTGCCGCCGGCCACCCCGCGCCGGGCCGCCGGTCCGCGCTTCGCCACCAGTCACCGGCCTCCCTCTCCCCCCTCCGGCCAGATCTGGGAGGGAGTGAGGGGAGCCACCGCCGGCCGCCCCGCGCGCGTCCACCCCTTCCGCCGGTGGGGAGGTGAAGGGGAGGGGAGAGGAGAGGAGAGGTGAAGGGGAGGGGAGGGGAGGGGAGAGGTGAAGGGGAGGGGAGAGGAGGGTGAAGGGGAGAGGTAAGGACACTTAGAAAAATATCAACTGATGTGTCATATATATATACCACGCTAATTTTTGCAGGCGCACCTCATGTGGTCCGTCTACGAAAATCATTTTCGTAGGCACGCCCGATTTATATTTTTGTAGGTGGCTGTTTGGCTCTAAGGGTCATGTTCGTATGTGAAAATAAATACCCAATATTGATGAAAATGCTTTTTCTAGCAGTGTGCTGCCGTGTGCCTCTGCCTCGCCATCAAGGCCAGCGTGCTCGGCGATGGCGTCAAGCTCGAGGATGTCGCTGTCGACCTCCCGCTCCTCGTCAACTACTGCGGCCGCAACGTGCCAGAGGGTTTCAAGTGCGCCTAGCTATAGACTACCGTGTGTTACCTTGGATATATTAATTGTTGCTTTGTATTACGCCAGTTAATAAAATAAAGTAGGGAATGGTATCCTGGTAGTTGCACTTCCACCCATAGATACACTGGTCGGGAACCGGCTCCTCTGACTTTGGACGGTAACGTCAGAGGCGCACAGTTTTTTTAAGTTAGCACTACAGTGTAAAACAGTACCTCTGACGTAAATACTGTTTGAGGTTACTGTTGGTAATACAATCTTTAGTCCCAGTTCATCCCCTGTCAGGGGACCGAGGATCTTTAGTCCCGGTTGGTGACACCAACCGGATCTAAAGATCACCACTTTAATCCCGATTGGTAATACTAATCGGGACTAAAATTCAATGCGTAGTATGTAATTCCTAGCACTTATCCTCTCCTCCACAATCGCAACCACATCCTCACAAATCCCTTTCTCTTCCTCCTCCCCTTCGTCGCACTTATCCTCTTCACAGATCCCTCTCCTCCTCCCCCTCCCCTTCCTCCTCCCCTCTCCCCCCCTCCTCCCTTCCCATCTGGCGGCGGGCGGGCGGGCGGCGGGGCCGTGCCCGGCGGCGGCCGTGGTGGGCAGAGTGATTAGAAGGTGGAGTGGGTGGGTGTGAACCATTGGAAACAGAGGAGATCAGTGGGACGGATTTAGCGTGGAGAGAGCAGTCGGCGGCCTTCACCTGAGACGGTGCACCACAGATGAGTAGGTAGCTAGCAGTACAGGTGCGAGGTCGAGAGGGAGGCGCAACGTTGTTGGGTGGGTTAGAAGTAGGGATGGGGGATTATTTTGATATGCGATCTAATTATGTCGTGTATTAAATTAAATATTTGAAACAACAATTCACATTATTCTACTTTTGAAATAAATATACTTCAAGCACGAGAGAGATATGTTTGGAACCGTGTTTTACATCTTTGGTTTGTATGTTCCATACCTGCAGAAAATGTTATAATGTTCCAATTAATGAATTTATTTTTAAAGATGTTTTAACTATGTATTCTAGCTTTGTGGTGTGATAATTTCTCATATATCTTGTTTCAGATGTCTCAATGACTAAACACCTTTTTATAACTTAATCCGTCAAATTGATGCCAGAATTTTTTTTTCGGGGATGATGGCAGAATTTGTTACAGGACACTAAAAAATTGTGGTTTTTGTTGTAAGACACCAAAGAACACATATCTTCTTGTAGACATCGCAAAAATGTGAAAATTAGTTGCCCGACACTCGCTAAATTATTTTATTATTTTTGGTGGAAACGGAGAGAGAGAAAGAACGATAAATGTACCGAATTGACCGGCGATAGCCGAAACGCTGGTCACAGGGTCGGTTGATCCCCGCCAGAGACGCGCAGGGTCAGAGCTCGCCGCTCACCGTCGACGACCAGTGCCAAATTTCGCCGTCAGCCGGCGACGCGCGACGGAGGAGCTAGGGCAGATCCGAGGCATTCGTCACGGCTGCCGTGGTCAGATGGCCTCCTGCCCAAGCTACTCGGCGTCATCTTCAAGCAACTGAACTGCCTCGTCGACCGCATTGGCTTCACGGCCGTCTACCGCCCATGGCGCACTGCCGCGGCCTTCGTCAACGCCCTGCACTGCGGGCTCCCGTGGCTGCTCCTCCCGTCCCACGACACATCGTCCTACTTCAGCCTCTACTCCGACTCTCCGGCTTCACCCGCCACCTCAGCCTCCTGGAAGGCGTCTGGGACACGTGCTTGTGCGGCGCTCATGACGGCGGCTGGGTCACCGTCGCCGTCGACCCGTGCGCCGTGGCGAGGATTCGCGGCCGGCCGTCAACGTCTTCACCGGCGTGAGGGTTATACACAATGACCCCACGGGCAAACTCGTCGTCTTTTATGAAAGTTTCTCTCTCCGTTTCCACCCAAAATAATAAAATAATGCGGTGAGTATCTAGCTAATTATAATATTTTTATGCTGTTCACAAGAAGATACGCGTTGTTTCGGTGACTTTAAGTGTTATATAGCAAATTTTATCAATTTTGATAGTCTGAATTTTAGGCCGAGCACCCAATCCCTAGGCTTGCATATGGGCTACCTCTACCACGATTCCAACGTGGGCTTCATGGGCTGCTTCTGATCCTTACCCGCATTTGAGCCCAACTACAGACTAGCGGCCCACCCGCATTTGTCGCTCTCGGTTCCGCCTCTCGACCCGATCCCACCAACCCCTTCTCCCTCTCCGCCGCACTTGCTCATCCCTCCCAATGGCGACGCCGCAAGCGCGCGCGCCGCCGTTGCTACGGGCTCCGCCCCGGGCGTGCCCCGCCGCCCAGCTCGCCACGCGCCGTCGGCTAGTCCGGCTACCCGTGGCCGCCTCGGCCGGAGTCGGCGGCGGAGGAGGGCCCGAGCTGCGCACGTGCAAGAACTGCAAGAAGCATTACGACCCGGCGGCGAACCACCCCTCGGCGTGCCGCCACCACACCGCCCACTTCGGAGGTGAGGAACTCGTCGGAGAAATGGAAGGAAGCTGGAGTAGTTTCTTTCAGATTCATTTGATTGCTCGAGCTATTCATATGTGTAGCTGAGGGCTTCTTTGAGAGAAACGAATTCGAGATTTAGCAAGAGATTTCAGTAGAATTGGGTGCATAACGTTTTCTCCCAACATAATCCTGAGGGGAAAAATTGTGTTAAGGATATTTTATAGTCCAATGTTCCTATGGAAAATCCAAACATCCGAGGGGCTATTGGCATATGACCTAGACAGAAATTCTGACTGAGTTGTTTATTTTGAACTAGTTAACATTGTCTGCTTGTGTTAGTCTAATATCTGAATGGCCAATCTCTGTCTATCCAGGAGAAACGAAGAGAAAATTTGAAAGTGTCTATGCGGGTGGGACTCTGGATACTCCAGATTCAGGCAAAGTGTTCCAGTATTGGCATTGTTGTGGATCGGAAGATCCTTTTGATGTTGGCTGTACTGCTTCTCCTCACTGTTCATATGATGACTGAATACCTTCTCATGTCTGCATTGTGATCCTACTATTCTTTCATATGAATACTTTTGCCCATATTGTCCATATATGTGAAACTGAAAACAGTGCATTTTTGCTGTCAAATGTAGTTTGCTATACTCATTTTTAATTTGAACATTCAATACGGTTACGTATGAACCCATTCTTAGTTGTTTAACACTAGATTATATGATACATGCAGTCAACAAGTGCCACTCCCAGTAGCAAATTAGGCTTTTAAAGAGATTTGAATATGTGGTATTCAATGCATACCCATGTCTTATATAATTTGGATTATTCTCTGCCCTGTGGTCGAAAGGATTTGATTCAACTTAGGATTAAACAAATATAGCATCTGAGGAATCTTTTGTATGCCCTAAATGAGGAATCAACAGCGGTACTGTACCTTCTAACTAGTAAGTGAAGTCCATTGCCACATGCTACTGAAACATAATACTATTGTGTGACTAATTGTAGTAATTCTCAACAGTTTTCTCCATTGGTGGGTTGTCTATTTACATTATGGTTGCAAAACATGTGTTCAAATGCCATGCAATACAGACAAATGTGAGCAACCGCTATATTTTAGAAACATACACAAATGAAAATTAGCTTGATTATAAACAAGTAGCGATAGCAATTTTTCAGTCGTCATCTTTCAGAACAAGATATTAGGAGTTTTGGACTGAACTTCTCATGGCCCATGATGTCAAGCAGTCCATTCAGAAAATACGAAGGATAACCATGATATACGGGATCACAGATATCTTGTTAATCATCTCTATTTACCTCAACACTTTCTTTTTGCCATTTCCTCTTACCTGCGGACGACTCAACATGCTGCTTGGTTGAACCACTTGAATCATGACTCATCGCCTTGCATGACCTGGAGGTTGCTCCGGTGAATGCTACTATGGTTGCTCTTGTGTTCTTTATCTTTGTGGCGTATGATCCAGAACTCAGTGCTCTTAAAATTCTACGGCGGTTGTCAGAAGATGACACTGGGGCAGGATCTTCAGGAGGACAATTGACAACCACCTTACCACATTCTCCATAGGAGCTGGGATCCTGTGTTCCATCCAGGAAAAGAAAGGTTAGCATCTTATCTAGTTACTACTAACTTTATGACTGTGACCATGATTTAGAGCTCAAACAGTATAATACACAATAGCACTTCAAACTAGCTGTAGCTTAATTTGAAACTACATTTCTTTTTTCCTTTTCTTCAGCTAGCTAGCATCTAGAGCTGTCCCATTGGTGTTTTGTTTGATTAACAACTTCAGCTCATCCTCCTTTCCCCAGAACAAGGCCTCTATTCTTGACGTTATAGACCCTACCATTGTCCTGTTTTCAGGTGCTGATGGCAATGGCTTTGACGTGTCTTACTATGATTTAATCCACATGTGTTAGCATGCTATTTTTCACCTTGGTAGCTTTGTATCAACATCTTTGGTGGCACTGTGTGAAAAGAGGAGGGAAAAGGAAAGACAATTGGAGTAAAATGCTTGTTAACTTCAGCTTCAACTAGCATATATATCAACATCATTTATATTTTTAGATAATGGAATTTATATCCCGGCCTTGACTCAACAGAGTTACAACCAATTATTACAAAGTATCACTCATACAAAGAGTGTAGTTCAAATGTAATCAAACACACTCAACAAAATAAAAAGCAAACCAAGATAAAGAGTACACATTTATTCAAGTCTATTTGTGAATCTCCATCCATAGTTTGCAAAGAGTTACGTCACCGTCGTCTCGAGTTTGCGACATGCAACCTTCATAAGTTCACCATCCTCTTCACACTTTTGCAGCTTTGCCCAAAACCGGAGCCAATATATTACCTTGAATATTACCTGCATATATAAAGTATATGGTGATTTGTTAAACACTAAATCATTCCTACTCAACCATAGGGCCCAACATATGGCAGATGCTCCTACAAGTATGAGATTACATTTCTTCTTATTAACCCCCATAAGCCACCCATCAAACATATTAGATATGATACTTGGAAGGTTTAAACCAAAAGAGAATTGTACTGCTCTCCAAACAAATCTTGCATAATGACAGTCAAGAAAAAGATGTTGTATGGTCTCATTTTTCATGCAGAAACAACATCTTAAATTGCCATTCCAATTTCGTCTTGCCAAATTGTCCTTAGTCAGCACAACCCCTTTAAGCAAGTACCACATAAAGATCTTAATCTTGAGTGGCATCTTAAGCTTCCAAATAATCTTATTTCTTTCGATATATCCATTATTAATTAAAGCTAGATACATTGACCTAACAAAAAAACTACCACTCTGATGATAATTCCATCTAAAGCAATCAGAAGAATGGTTCGATTGAATATGTATAATAGAAGTACACAATTCATGCCAATATGTAAGATTATGGCCAACTAAGGCTCTCCTAAAGGAAACATTAAGTGGAACAGAACTCATAACACTAGCAATAGTAGAACTTTTCCTTCGAACAATAGAATATAAAGATGGATATTTGTCTTTAAAAGCCAAGTTACCCAGCCATTTATCTTCCCAGAACCTTATTTGTCTTCCATTATTTACAATCCAAGAACCCATATTTAAGAAGGTATTTTTGACCTTCATGAGCCCTGACCAAAATTGTGAATCCCCTTGTTTCCTATTAACTTGGGTTATAGACTGATTATAAAGATACTTTCTCTTTAATAAGGTCTGCCAGACCCCTTCCTCATTAATCAATTTAAACAACCATTTATTCAAGAGGCATTTATTTTATATTTCCAAATTATGGACCCCTAAACCTCCCTGATCTTTGGGTTGACAAATTATATCCTATCTAGTAAGTCTATACTTTTTTTTATAATCATCCCCTTGCCAAAAAGAAACGAGATCTATAATAATCAATTTTTTGAAGAACCCCTTTACGTATCTCAAAAAATGATATCATAAACATAGCTAGACTTGAAAGCACAGAGTTAATCAAAACCAGTCTACCCCCAACAGATAAATGTTTTCCTTTCCAACTACTAAGTTTTTTCTCAATTCTTTGCTCAATCACCTTCCAATCCTTATTATTTAATTTTCTATAATGCATTGGGATACCAAGATATTTAACAGGAAAAGAGCCACGCTTACAACCAAAGATATGATTCAACATCATTTATATGATTCAGATGTTTGCCTAAATGTTAAATTTGCTTCATCCTCAAAGGCGTTATCATTTTGGAAGAGCTGGTCTGGTATATGTAGGCATATATAGTGCTGTTCTCAGAATGCTTCCTTTTATTTGCATTAATGCCCTCAGAAAATGCACATTTATATATTCTCTAGCTTCAGAGCTTTTGTTTTTAATAAAAAGCATCATCTCAGGAAATGAGAAGGAAAGATGAATTCGCAAGTTAGGGTACGTCGATTTGTAAAGAGCATGTGCGTCTCTTGTATTATCTTGTAGAAAAGCTAGACCAACTAAAACTGCTCCGCTTGAGTTTTAAGATAAGTTGATTTTTACATAGCATCTTGTGCCCACGTGAGAGCTGAAAGTTTCATTCTTAAGTCTTAAGGCATATAAATTTATTAAATGGTCATTCCTGAAAAACAGGGCAAAAAGGAAGGTAGTGAGTCAGTAGGTCAGAAGATCTCCCATGAGAAGATTCTAACTAGGTTATATGGAGGAGATGATGTTTTTATTTTTCTTTAATAGACTGGAATTCTTTTTTATCACAAACCACAAAATTACAAAATATCAGGGAAAGTAGAGACAGAACAAGTGCAAAATTTTGCAGGTGATGAATCATCCTGTGAGTAAAAACTTACAAACTCAAATGGAGTAAAATTACTAATCTTCAATTCTTTTTGTCCATGGTTGGAAGAAAATAACCGGTGTATTTGCATGTGTCATCAGATGTTGATAATATTCTATATTATACTCAATCAGTTCGCTATTTTGTCCATCATGGGAAACATTATATTTCACCATCCCATGCTTTTGTGCAATATAATTCAGTTCCCTTTACCTTCAACCATTGCATGCTTTTGTGCTATTTAATTTAATTCAGTTATTAATTACTATCACCATTGAGAAATACAGGGTTGGTAGACAGTTTATTAATAACAAGTATAAGGTTACGTTTAGATGTATTGCAAGTATTCCCTACTATTGCACCCCTATTGGATGCGGGAAAAAGAATGGTACTTATCTGTATATCCTACTATCCCATGCATTTACTCATTTTGGTCACATAATTTTTTTTTGGCATCTTTGAAAGAGAACCATATGATGAACACTTTATGCCATTTGTCCCATTTATACTTTCTAAGTTCCACCTGATATCTCACTAATGATCGTTGTGAAGTGGTCAAAATACAGCCCATATTGGTGAATTCCGCGCACGGTAGCTAGTACATGCTTTTGGTGCAGCACCATATAATTTCAGTGAAGAAAAGTCGAATTAAAAATCCGACTTTGCTTGATATATCATGCTATGAGAGTATGACCACTAAACTATGTTGTCAACTGATAAAAGGAGTTCAGAGTCAAATATATTCTTTCAAAACCCACCAAGGAAATGGTAAGCCTTCGAGAAGGTCAACTCCCGCCCTCTTCCCCATGAACAAACTGAACCTATCAGAATACGGTTTTCACATACACATAATCGGTGCCAAAAATTTACAAATTCCTGAAATTTAGTCCCTCCCACCCAAACATCCCTTAGATAAATTGGGACAAGCATAACACACCCATCTCGTGAGCAGAAAGGTAGGTTTTGAAACCTACGAAGTAATCCGCGCTCTCATGATAAAGATGAACGTTTATAGCGCAAATCGATAAATATGGATGAAGTAGGGACAAAACTAGATGGAACATGAAAAACATCATTCAAAAGGTTAATCGTGTGAAATTCTGGTTGATTGTTTCCAATTAAGCTGGTCATAGTCCACATAAAAGGATTGCTCTAGTAAAACCAGAGCTTTTGTACATTCCAGTAAGTTTAGAAATCAATCAGAACTCAAGAAAACCTCGGATCCAAGCAAAAAAAAAAAAACACGGGATCTACAACAATTGAAATCGGATTTAAGGTTTATCGGTTGGATCACACTCATACTGCCACTCAAACCATAAAGAAGATTGAACCGGTCTTCTCGCATAAGCTCCATCTTTTTA